ATGCCATTCTCCGTCTCGGTAAAGCCGTGGACGATGGGCGCGCCTGGGAGGGGCCTGCTGTAGTCGCCCCGCTCTTCCAGCCAGCGCCTGGACTCGTGGTAGCTGTCCACCGCCCTGCGCAGCTCCTCCTCCCAGCAGTCGTGGTCGAGAAGGCCGAGCTGCTGAAGAATGCGCACCAGCTCCTGCCTGCCTGCGCCGCCGCGACGCCAGGCAGACTCGCATACTTCCCTGGCCGTCTGCAGGCGACGCCCAAAGTTCTGGGCCAGGCCCGTCGCAATGTGCGTCGGCAGCCCTAGCATGCGAAAGATGTAGGGCACGCAATTTTCCAACCACTCGTTCTCGTCCGCGTAGTGGTCGGGGTTGCTGGGGTTGGAGACCCACCCGCGGGCACGGCGCCCGAGCACCCGCTTGTAGCGCTTGATTGCCCTGGCCTCCATCCGCTCCGCCGCCCGCTCGTCGTTGTCCAGTTGGCACTGGACGAGCCCTGCCGAAGAAACGGCATCCGAGCCTCCGCCGACGAGCTGATGGATCTGCGTGAAATAGTCGCTCAGATGCATGAGCTTCTTGCCCTTGTAGCTGGCCTTGGGCCCCTTGATGGGGCGCGCCCTGGCCTGCGTGCCGAAGCTGAAGCTCGGCGGGCCCCCGCGGCCACGATGCAAACTGGCGTCATCGGGCGGGATCTGGTAGATCCAGACGAGCTCGTTCTCCACTCCCTCGCATAGGGCGCGGTAGACCTCCGTCATGGCCTGCATGTCCCCCCCCCACTCCGATAGCGTCCCGCAACTCGTCGTGGTTCCACTCCTTGGCTGGCATAGGCCCATATGGCCTGTCCTTGGGAAAGGCTGCGGGGCCCTTGACGCGGAATGACTGGCCAAGGTCGCCCTGACAAGCCAAGTAGAGCTTGACCCCGATGTGGGGCCTGCACGGGTTGGCGTAGCCCTGCTCCGTCATATTGAGGCGCTCGCACCCGCTGACGAGGTCCAGCATATCTGCACTGACGATGAACCAATCGAGCTCAGATGGCTCCTTGACGGGGGAGTGCTGGCAGGTGCCCTTGCCCGAGTCGACGACGTGGCCGCCCAGCTTGCGCAGCCAGTGCCCCGCGCGGAGGTGGAACCTGTCAGGCTCGACGTTCCAGTCCCCCGCCAGGACCCAGGGCTTGCCAGTGCACTTCAGCGCGGCTCCAACCTGCTGCAAGACGCCCTGGCTGTGCTCGCCCACGTCGTCGTTGTCCAGGTAGACCGAGCCCAGCAGGAAGCCTCCAGGCACGACGCCATTGATGTGCACGATGGTCGCGCGGCCCTCGGCCGCGTGGCAGCTGTCCTTGCTGCCGCCCGCGCCTGGCCCGCACATGCCACGCGAGGTGCGCACGGCCACGCCAGTGCCGCTGCTGACGGCGCGCTGGAGGCCTGCGCCGACCGAGCTCACCCCTGGGGTCAGCACGGCGCTCCAGCCAACCTGACGACACCACTGCTCCTGCTCCACGGCGCGGTAGCCGTTGAGGTGGTGCTCCTGGATGCACAGTGCGTCGCCGAGGTGCGCCTCCGCCACCGCCTGCTGTTGTGGGTCCTGCTGCTCGCCGAGGATGGTGGTGAAAGGGCCCCATCCACTGCCGTTGAGGCTCACGATGGTGAAGTGAGGGCGGCTACCCCCGCTTCCCCCTTCTGCGGATCCCCGCGGAGCGGAGTCCTTGGAGGAGCTTCTGGGCGCGAAGCTTGCGCATGGCGGCGGCTGCGGCGGCCTTGCCTGCAGCGTCGCCTGCCTCCTCGCCGTTGCCCACCTCGCCCGACACGGCCTCTGCTGCCCCCTCCTCGGTGGCCTCTTCCTCCAGGGAGTCCAAGATGACGTCGACATCCTTCTCGTCGATCTCCTGCTCGTCGCCGCTCCCGTCACGCTCCGCCGCGGCACCTGCTGCGGCGACGCGCTGTGCCAGACGCCGCAACTCTGCGACTTGGCCGTCCCATTGCTCAGCGAAGCCAGGGGCGAGCATACCTGAGCACTGATTAAGAGCGGCGAGGAAAGCGGTGGCTCGCTCACCCTCGCTGAGCTGGGCGCCTGGGGACGCTGGGGCAGCCGTCCCTCGCGGCCCTTCCTCCCGCTGCTGTGCTTCACGCTCGCGGAGCTGTTGTGCCAGGAGGTTGTCGATGAGCGCCTGGAGCTCCTTCTCGCCGGCCTGACTCTGCGCATGTTTGCCCTCCAGCTCGAGCTTGTGGGCCTGTAGTTCGGCGAACTGCTTGTCCGCCGCCGAGATCCTGCTCGCCAAGGCCGCCGTGGTGGCCTCCTGGTTCTTCTGCTTGCGCTCCAACTCACTGAGCTGGACTGATGTAGGCTTGGTTGCTGCCAGCTCGTTTTCCAACTGCTGCGCCTCCTGCCGTTTGGATTCGAGAATGGCCTCCGCGCCGTCCACGCCCTCGATCTTCTTGATCTCACTTCGTAGCTTGCCCAATCGGCGGACACGTTCTGGCTTGTCGTCAGGCTGCGACCCAACGCCTGCCGCCCCAGCGCCACCGCCATCGACTCCTGGTCCTGCTTGGCTGCTGGTCTCCAACTTTTTGACCTTCCTCCGCAACTGGTTGAGCTCGTGGCGTTCTCTGGCGTCCAGTTGTGACATGCCACTCCACCAAGAACTCGTACCAGAACCGCTTTCCCACCAGTCGTAGCCGCAACTCCTGCAGACATGCCTAGAGCCCCAATTCTTCTTGGCTCCGCACTGAGGGCAATCCCAGACCCTGGGCGCTGCACCGCTGCCGCCCGCGCCTGGAGCTTGGCCGCCCCGCTGTCCACGGCCACTACTGGCTCTGCCGCCGCCGCCGCGCGCGGCTCCTCGAGCACCACCTCCTCGTCCTGCCATTGGTCGAGCCCGCCGCGGCTGGGCTCCCAATCGGGCGACTGGGGCCGGGTGTCGGTGATGTAATATGGAAAGAGCTGTGGCCCCAAGGGCCACACTGAAAGCTTGGAAGATTGGGAATCTGACCCAAGAATGGACGCGACGGCTAGAGCCAGCCTCATGAGACCAGACATCTGCCCTGATCGCGCCACCTTGAGCCAAAATGGCTACGGATGATGATGATGATGATGGTGATGATGATGATGATGATGATGATGATGATCATGATGATGATGCTGGGGATGCTGGTGATGATGACGATTACGACGACGACGATGGCGACGAAGAATGCAGAGGCAAGGAGAGGGGGGAGGGAGGAGGGGAAGGAGGAGAGGAGGAGGAAGAGAAGGTGGAAGGAGACGCGGGGCGCTGTCTCTTCAGACTGAGCACCCAGCACCAGAGGATGGTTGGGAAACACATGGAGTAGGAAGGCTGATAAAGTAGAGATTGGGTGCAGGCCCTCCCGGAGAAGAACAACGCACAACAGAAGCACATCGATCCACAAACACAGGCCTTTCAACGACCGGCGTGTGGTCATCACCCCTCCCTCGGCCACTCCCGATGGATGCCCCTGTCTTTGGAGTCCCGAAACGGTGGGGTGACAGACCGTGCGGTGACCTCGGAACCCCAAGAGACCTCACCGCACGGTCCGTCACCGCACGGTCTTGGGACCCCGGATGCCCAGTCGCCGGAGACGTCCTGGGAGAACGACCCGAGTCCCAAAACCGTGCGGTGACCCCGAATCCCCACTGACTCACCGCACAGTGTGGTCACCACCCCCTTTGGGGGCCCCCGACTGTACGTGGCCAAGAAGCAGCCCCTGGGGCTCCGGGACGGCATCCGCATCTCCGGGCGCGGTGGCAGCGCCAGACCCCGGCCCCCCTCCGAGGCCCCCCGCCTCGCATGGAGGCCTGGAGACTGTTGCGGATCGCGCTCGGCGCAGGCAAAGGTAAGGAGAGATCACCTCCGTCGGGCTCGGGCTCGGATTCATCATCGGACCCGTCTGGACGGACTCGTCTCTCTCTCTCTCTCTCTATATCCAGCATTGTGGATGCCATGACATATGGAAACTCTAACAATCCTACCATTGAATTAAAACTGTATTTAAAATGTGTAAACTAAAACGTGTCAGACATGTTTTTAACACAAAAACCATATTTCAATCATGTTTGAAACTTATTTTATACATCTGGGAATCACTTGGCAGCATGCTTCCTCATAATTAATCGACTTCCACAACTCCAGCAGCTTAAACACGCTGCAGGTCGGCCTCGAGCAGACCGAAGGCTTGCAGCACCGACTCTCTCGGCGCGAAGCCTGAATCCGCGTGCCAGCTGGGAGCCACACTTGCTCTGTCGCCATGGACTGGCGGAGACACTGGAGGCCCAGAGCTTGGCACCAACAGAAGTATCGGCGGTTACGGTCGGGAGTTTTTACTCAGCGTGTCGTGGCGGCGGCCCTGGCGACACGCTGTGCCTTGCAAGCGAACGGAGTGTCGCTCCGCGCAGCGGAAGGAGAGGCTTCGAACGGCTCGGAACGATACCGTTCGGGTGTCAGGACGCGTTTCGCGTGTCGCGCCGAAGCATGGTGGGCCAGAATCGGCGGAGCGACATGACAGCCCGAAATTCTCGACCGTACCTCCACCGAAGGGAAGTGATGCAGATCGTGGCTTTGGTATTCAACTCCAAGGTCTCCAACTTCACAAGGCTTCCAGGGCGCCACCAACCCGGGCGCCCCGCCGCCCGTCCGCTCGGTGCCCGTCCGGCGACGTCCCAGGCGGTGGCGACCCAGAGGTCAAAAGGTGGAGGAGGAGGAGGAGGAGGAGGAGGAACGAGGAGGAGGAACGAGGAGGAGGAACGAGGAGGAGGAACGAGGAGGAGGAACGAGGAGGACGAGGAACGAAGCTGGAGAGCGAGGGCGGAGGGAGGAGCCGGAGCAGGAGGGAGAGAACGACCACGACGACGCAGCCGACGACGCCGCCGCCGACCGGCGCCGAGGCGGCGCCGCCGGCGCCGCAGGCGAGCGGCAGCGAGCGCCCGACGGAGGCGCGGAGGCGGGCGGCGCGGGCGGCCGCGGCCCCCCGGGCGGGCGCGCGGGGGGCCGGCGCGGGCGCCTCGCGGAGGCTGGCCTCGGTGAGGCCCTGGCGGGGGCTCCGCGCGGCGCGGGGGGGCTGCGACCGGGCCTCGGCCTTCGGGGGCCCCCCGCGCTCCGCGCCTCGGCCGTCGAGCCTCGGCGCTCCTCGAGCCTCGGCCTCGCGAGCCTCGAGGCCCGCCCCTCGAGGCCGCTGTGGAAGGCCGCCCCGCGGGCCAGGGCGGCTGGGGGGGCCTCCGTGGGGCAGCCTCTTGTGGGTCTCCGCGGCCCGATCGTGAACACTTCGACCGGCCTGCGCCCAGATTTCGGGCACCCCTCTGCGCCCTTTGCGCCCAGGAGTTCGGCCGGACGTCGTCGACGTGTCGACCACATCCGACGAAGTCTGGCTGCAATCTTCAAAACCGCAAGACAAGCTGGGGCTCCCTGAGGCTCCGGGAGGGCGGGAGGGAGGGGACAGCACGAGGAGGAGGAGGAGGAGGAGGAGGAGGAGGAGGAGGAGGATTGTCACGGCTGTCGTTTAAGGTACGGGTAATGTTTTACCGCTTCGTGCCCTAACAATGGTGGCACGCCATGTTCTGGATGCAACACTTGTGAAGATGCGGCTACTACCACGCCTATGCTGTGCAACACTCGCGCCAATGCCCTCCACTGCTCGGCCTATGACCGCCCATGGCCTACACGCGGGCCCTTTGCACGGTGGCTGGTAAGCCCCCCACCCCCATGCCTGACGCTGCCACCTATCCGTTCCACTTCGATCTCTCCCCCTCACCTCCGATTTACATGGGGCATCCTCCAATGCGCGGGGACTGCGTGTCCCATAACAGGGGCTGTGCGTCCCATTTGCCAGGACTGTGTGTCCCATAATCGAGACTGCGCGTCCCAGTTGCCAGGACTGCGTGTCCCATAACAGGGACTGCGCGTCCCATGTGCCAGGACTGCGTGTCCCATAACAGAGACTGTGCGTCCCATTTGCCAGGACTGTGTGTCCAAGAATCGAGACTGCGCGCCCCAGTTGCCAGGAATGTGTGTCCCATAGCAGGGACTGCGCGTCCCATTTGCCAGGACTGCGTGTCCCATAACAGGGACTGTGCGTCCCATTTGCCAGGACTGTGTGTCCCAGAATCGAGACTGCGCGTCCCATTTGCCAGGAATGTGTCCCATAGCAGGGGCTGCGCGTCCCAGGACTGCGTGTCCCATGACAGGGACTGCGCGTCCCATTTGCCAGGACTGTGTGTCCCAGAATCGAGACTGCGCGCCCCATTTGCCAGGAATGTGTGTCCCATAGCAGGGGCTGCGCGTCCCATTTGCCAGGACTGCGTGTCCCATAACAGGGACTGCGCGTCCCATTTGCCAGGACTGTGCGTCCCATAATCCAGACTGCGCGTCCCATTTGCCAGGAATGCGTGTCCCCACAGCAGGGACTGCGCGTCCATTTGCCAGGACTGCGTGTCCCATAACAGGGACTGTGCGTCCCATTTGCCAGGGCTGCGTGTCCCATAATCGAGACTGCGCGTCCCAATTGCCAGGACTGTGTGTCCCATAATCGAGACTGCGCGTCCCAGTTGCCAGGACTGCGTGTCCCATAACAAGGACTGTGCGCCCCATTTGCCAGGACTGCGTGTCCCATAACAGAGACTGTGCGTCCCAGTTGCCAGGACTGTGTGTCCCAGAATCGAGACTGCGCGCCCCATTTGCCAGGAATGTGTGTCCCATAGCAGGGACTGCGCGTCACATTTGCCAGGACTGCGTGTCCCATAACAGGGGCTGTGCGTCCCAATTGCCAGGACCGTGTGTCCCATAATCGAGACTGCGCGTCCCATTTGCCAGGCATGTGTCCCATAGCAGGGACTGCGCGTCCCATTTGCCAGGACTGCGTGTCCCATAACAGGGACTGTGCGTCCCATTTGCCAGGACTGTGTGTCCCATAATCGAGACTGCGCGTCCCATTTGCCAGGAATGTGTGTCCCATAGCAGGGACTGCGCGTCCCATTTGCCAGGACTGCGTGTCCCATAACAGGGACTGCGCGTCCCATTTGCCAGGACTGCGTGTCCCATAATCCAGACTGCGCGCCCCAATTGCCAGGAATGTGTGCCCCATAGCAGGGACTGCGCGTCCCATTTGCCAGGACTGCGTGTCCCATAACAGGGACTGTGCGTTCCATTTGCCAGGACAGCGCGTCCCATAGTCGAGACTGCGCGCCCGATTCGCCAGGAATGTGTGTCCCATAGCAGAGGCTGCGCGTCCCATTTGCCAGGACTGCGTGTCCCATAACAGGGACTGTGCGTCCCATGTGCCAGGACTGTGCGTCCCATAATCGAGACTGCGCGTCCCATTTGCCCCGGAATGCGTGTCCCATAGCAGGGACTGCGCGTCCCATTTGCCAGGGCTGCGTGTCCAATAACAGGGACTGCGCGTCTCATTTGCCAGGACTGTGTGTCCCATAATCGAGACTGCGCGTCCCATTCGCCAGGAATGGGTGTCCCATAGCGGGGACTGCGCGTTCCATTTGCCAGGACTGCGTGTCCCATAACAGGGACTGTGCGTCCCATTTGCCAGGGCTGTGTGTCCCATAACCGAGACTGCGCGTCCCAATTGCCAGGAATGTGCGCCCCATAGCAGGGACTGCGCGTCCCATTTGCCAGGGCTGCGTGTCCCATGACAGGGACTGCGCGTCCCATTTGCCAGGACTGTGTGTCCCATATTCCAGACTGCGCGTCCCAATTGCCAGGCATGTGTGCCCCATAGCAGGGACTGCGCGTCCCATTTGCCAGGACTGCGTGTCCCATGACAGGGACTGTGCGTCCCATGTGCCAAGACTGCGTGTCCCATAATCGAGACTGCGCGTCCCAATTGCCAGGAATGTGTGCCCCATAGCAGGGACTGCGCGTCCCATTTGCCAGGGCTGCGTGTCCCATAACAGGGACTGTGCGTTCCATTTGCCAGGACTGTGTGTCCCATAATCGAGACTGCGCGCCCCATTTGCCAGGAATGCGTGTCCCATAGCAGGGGCTGCGCGTCCCATTTGCCAGGGCTGCGTGTCCCATAACAGGGACTGTGCGTTCCATTTGCCAGGACTGTGTGTCCCATAATCCAGACTGCGCGTCCCATTTGCCAGGAATGCGTGTCCCATAGCAGGGGCTGCGCGTCCCATTTGCCAAGGATGCGTGTCCCATAACAGGGGCTGCGCGTCCAAGTGTCCCATAGTCCAGACTGCGCGTCCCATTCGCCAGGAATGGGTGTCCCATAGCGGGGACTGCGCGTTCCATTTGCCAGGACTGCGTGTCCCATAACAGGGGCTGCGCGTCCCATATGCCAGGACCGTGTGTCCCATAATCGAGACTGCGCGTCCCAATTGCCAGGAATGTGTGCCCCATAGCAGGGACTGCGCGTCCCCTTTGCCAGGACTGCGTGTCCCATGACAGGGACTGTGCGTCCCATTTGCCAGGACTGTGTGTCCCATAATCGAGACTGCGCGCCTCATTTAATTAATCAGGGCTGCGTGTCCCATAGCCCATAGCTGGGACTGCGTGTGCCATGCGCCTGCCCTCTGGGAGGACCGCCCCATCGGCCATAGGCCATGGGGCATAAGGGCTGGAAGACTGGAATGCGGGTCGCATAGCATCACATCGCAACCGCATCGCATTGTGCTTTGGTATCAATTATGGCTTGCGCACGAACAACATGGCAACTACTGCGCCTACCTTACAACTCCCCTCTGTGTCAAATGGGAACTACTACTATGCCGTACCCCGACCGCTATTACTCGGATACTATGTAATCTACCTACGGATGCCTACCAGGCGAGACACGGCCCACGACTGTGAAGCCCGTTATACGGAATGCGCCACCGTCCTCCTTCTGGAGGGGGGCCGCTCCACGACTGTGAAGCCCGCTTAACTATCCTACTCTCATCCTCCCTCAACAGGAGGGCCGCCCCACGACTGTGAAGCCTTATTATCGCCAAACTCTTACCTTTGCACTTCGCTGTCACCTGTCCCCCACCACGAAGTGGCAATTCATCCCTTCCCCCCAGACTTTGAAGCTTGCTCACCCCCCTCTCACAATGAGAGGCAGGCGAGCAACGCCCCACGACTGTGCCCTTTCAACAACCCCACTCTCATCCTCCCTCAACAGGAAGGCCGCCCCACGACTGTGAAGCCCTAACGTTGCCCCTCGCTTATCCCTTTACCTTTACGGTCACGTGTAACCCCGCGACTAGATAGCAATACCTACTCGGCAACCCCCCCCCCCCTACTACCATTTGACAGGCTGCCCCACGACTGCGAAGCACGGCTATCCCCTTGAAAGCTACCCACCTATTATGGGAGCGGCCGCGGGGGCGAACCTTCCAATACTAAAATTCGACACCTACTGCTACAAGAAGGGCCCCACGACTGTGGGGCACCACTAACCCGGACTGCGCCGTGGCCGCGTCTTTGGTGGGCGATGGCCTGCCCCACGACTGTGAAGCCCCCTAAAGCGCCAGCCCAGGCCCCAGGGCCGCCCCACGACTGTGAAGCCTCAGGGCCGCCCCAAGACTAATATGAACAATGCAAGGCGAACCTTGTTGTCCCGGCTCGCCGGGCTCCTTAATCTTCCCCCCCCCCACGTCCACTAAGTAGTCCTGTCGGCTCCTCACTAGCAGATTCCAAGTCTATGAGGGGCGCTGCGTTAAATTGGGGTGCCAAGGGGGCCACGCTCCCAGCCCCTTAGTCCGAGGGGTCTGTGCCCTTCTGCCCCCTACAAGTGTGAACCCTACATGATGCATGCGGTCTCCGTTGCTTCTCTACCCCCCTGGCGTGGCTGGGGACTGGCATTCGCCCCAGCCCACGCTCTGATTCTAGCCCTTCCCTAACCCCCTCAGGCGGTTACTCCTTGTGCTGGGAGGGCACTTGAACGTGCCTCTTGCCACTGTCGCCCCGCTGTTCACTCCCCTGGGTGGGGGCTCTGCTGGGGCGCTCGTCGGGCGCGGGGAATCCACGCCCTTCGTGGCGCCCCGCGCGTCCCCAGCCGACTCCCCCAGAGGAGTATAGAACAGCATTGGCACG